TCTCCACTACTCTGGAGTTGCCCGCTGTGAGAGGCGGCGGGCTGGTGTGGGCTTGCTTATAGCCTCCCAGCTTAGATGCCATGTGTTGGAGTTTACCCCGGTGAACGAGAGGGTTGTTTCCCTGAGCTGTTGGGTCGGGGATAGGTCTCTCACTGCTGTTTGTGCTTATGGGCCGAAAGGCAGTGTAGAGTACCCAGCCTTCTTGGAGTCCCTGGGAAGGGTGCTGGAAAACACTCCGACTGGTGACTTGTTCTACTGGGGGACTTCAACGCTCACGTGGGCAGCGACAGTGACACCCAGAAAATGCATTTTTCTAGTTCTTATTCTGGGATCTTCCACCTGTTTTTTGGCACTCTATAAGTCCAGCATACTTTTAGCTATACAGGCCATTCAGGTATCTACCTGTTCATCTCTTCAAGGACATCCCTGCCTGTATTTTTCAGGATGATCTTTCAGCTTATCAGCATCCACATGCATTTACAACAGGAAATGCATTTCTCTAGTTCTTTCTATTGTTTTGCAATGAAGACACTTCCTCACTAGCACCAGAGTTTGCACATTGAGTCCCCTTTTTCTCTCTCACCCCCTGGTAAGGGAGCCCCAACCATAACACAAACCACTGAAGTCCAAGTATGAGGTCATGTCTGTAGCACATCTGAAGGTGGTGACTCAGGACCATATTTGCAAAGAACTCTAAACAAATTGTATTTAAAAGAAACAAAACATCTCTATTACAAAACATCTCTATTAGCCAACTGTTCTCTCATGGAGATTAAAGATGATGGCTAGAAAAACCCAGAGCAAATATATAATTAAAAATGATTATGACACTGCAAAAACTACACACGCATGCACGCACACAAACATACACACAAACACTTGCACAAACACCAGGAGAGGTTGGCAGTTGGGCAGTGTCCCCAACCACAAGCCATGAGCCAGCAGCCAACTGCTGTAGCATGAGGTTAAAGTGGTTTGGATGCTGGACACTGTGAGGGTGATTAACTCTAACAGGCACACTTCAGATGGATAGAAGCTTGCCTGGGAACATTGACTACAAAGAACATATACTGTAGGTCATCATTAAATGAAGAGGTTTACATTTTGAGAAATGTGCTCAAATAGTTATTTATTTTTCTTTACTATTTTTTGCACTTTTGATCTCTTTCCCCCAATTATGGTAAAGATAAGCTGCTCACTGTATATTTATATTTACCACACACATGTGAGAGGGGCATTGAGATTCTCTTTGTACTGTTCTTTGACCAAAAAGCTTGAAACCTTACTTAGAAACTTTAAACACTTCCCCATTAGGTCTTACTGCAATATCCCAGCTCTAAATTTGAGAAATAGAGAGGATATAAATGACATATGCTTCCTATGCAAAATTGGACTTACAAGTGTAGGAATACAAGCCCCTCCAGATTGTCTATATGTTGAATAGATAAAGAAGTGGTACAGGAAAGGAAACAGGAAAAGGACAAAAACAAGATACCTCCTGTCCAGGATCTAATCTTCACTCCTTGTGATCACTGATATGTGATAAGAACAGTGTAAATCAGGAAGCAAAAGAACACTCTGCCTGAGCTTTGTGACAGACAGGGCATCTATAGCTGTCTCTCACTTTGTGGGTATTTACAATAGTTTGCATAATTTCTAATGTCTGATAATAACTGGATGAGAAGAATATGAATGAAGATTTAATATTTTTTCCATAGCTTTGCTTTTTAAAATTTATTTATTTCCACCCTTAGATATCCAGGGAAGGCTGCCTTAATATTTATGGCATTCTCAGACATACAATGTCTTTCCACACATATGAGCTGATCAGTATAACCAATTTGCTCACTTCTTCATGGAAATGTGGGCAAGAAAAACTTTTTTTTAGGAGTCCTTAGGAGCTGGAGCAAAGTTGCTATAACTTCTCCATCCACCATACAAGGTCCTTAAATGCTGAAATGGTAATAGTAAGAGGCTGCAGTAGAGCTCAACAGAGTAGGCTGTGAATATGAGGCAAAAATGCTGCCAGAATAGAGCAACAGTACAAAATTTATATTCCCTGGATAAGTAAAGTAGCCAAAACATACATTTATTAATTTAATGCCATGTTCAGGGACATGCCCAGAGTCATATATATTTAACAGAAACAAGGGTATTCCTCATTTGTTTTCTGCCAAGCTTTTTCCTGCTTGTGCTAGATTTGAACTATTGACTTTACAACCACTCCCCCCAGACAAATGAATGGCATGCTCTGAATGTGTATGCCTCATATTTAATAAATGAAAACTCATTTGCTGTGGCAATACCATCAAACTCAAATATCACTGTTAAGTATTTAATACATGAGACAGCAGAGAAAGCAATTGAATTTTACTGAAAATGAATTAGATGTTCTTCATCATCTAATTGAGTGCTACTTTAATCAGGAAAATTCAGCAAATGTACATCTGGCTATAAGTTCATGAAGTCTAATGGTCTGGCGTGCATATTTTTGTGTGTGTAATAATCAATGATGCTGTTTACCCTGGTGAAAAGCTACATGAGTGTTTTTAGGCATATTTGAGAGAGTGTATGTGTGTGTGTGTGTGTGTGTGTGTGTGTCACTGCCGTGGTTGTGATCAGTGTGATGAAGCACAGCGACAGAGCTTTGGCCATCTGGAGACAGATGACATTGTGAATCACCAAAGAGGAGGGTGGAGGAAGAAACAGGAGGTGGCACCATGGATGGAGGAAAGATACAGGGAGAAGGTACAAAGAGAGGACAGAGACAGGAGCAGGATGACACATCAGCATGTGGGCAAGCAAAATAAGGGTGTTCATGAGGGCAAAACACTTGCATTTTGTGAAAGCTGCGTATGTGCTCGCACGCCTAGGCATGTATACACATTGCCTCAGTGGCCCTTTTTGGGCCAGCTAATGACCTGCTTGTCAACACTTTAGTCTAATCATTTTAGAGTGAAGAGGAGTGGCAACTTACAGACTCACACAGACACAAACACAGTTTACTTACACGCTGTTAGTTGTTGAAAGGGGAGACTGCTTGATGCTTGATAACAAAATGAGCCTTCCAAATAGATCATTTGCTAAATAGAGGCACACAAAAGATACAAAAACATAGGGCCCAGATTACCTCTCAGGTGGTATAAGCTTATTGCCCTTCTACTCCAACAGTCCTCTCCCCTCTCTGCCTCATATTTCCCCTAAAAGTTGATTCTTTCCTGCTGCTTTGCTGTTTCTCCTCCCAGTGCAACCACTTTACAATCTCCATCTTCATCTTAGCTGCTACTTTCTCCCCCAATCCATCTCCTTC